CCCCCGCCAGCGGCGCGTGCGGCGAGCGAGCGGCCCCGCACCCCACGCACCCCACGCACCCCCCGGCATCCACACACACTCATGCATATAATGGCGGCCTAGCTAGCCCTGCCGCCGCGCCTGGCGCCTGCTTCTTACGACACTGCCGGGTTACACAAGTGCCATGACAGGTGTGGGTCACACAGGAGTCATGGAACTCTGTGTGAATCACATAATCCTGATCGATTTAGCCCCACATTTGTTTCCAGAGGCGCCTCAAACGCACAATCCGCTACACAGCAGCACACACCTGAAACCCAGCAACAGACTGGATTCAACCACCCAACGAAAGCACCAAGGGTTGTGGGAGGAGGCGGCGCAGACAGTCGCAAACCTCGATTCTCGCACACTTGCTGCCGGCCCCACGGCTGTGACGAGCATCAGATGCTTATCATGCACTCCTCTATCTCGCAACCAATACGTATCCTCGCCCGTGCCCCCGCCGCCATCTGCCTACCCACGGAGCCACGCGGCGGCCCCGGCCCCGCCGTCTGCCGGCGGCAGCGCCACCAGCAGCGGCATCGGGAACGGCGCGCGGCCCGCGGCGGCGCCTCGCAGGCGCGCGCGGGCGGCCAGGTCGCGCAGCGCGCGGCGCGCGCGGGAGAGGGGGTGGTCAAAGGGCAGATCATCTTCGTCGTCTTCGCTGCCGCTGTCGAGCTCTGCGCCGCCGGTCACGGCCGCGGCGGCGGCCAGGCGCTGCCGCAGGTGCGCTGCCGGCGCGGTCCCCTTTGCCTGCTGCTGCTGGGGCTGCTGCTGCTGCTGCTGCTGCTGCTGCTGCTGCTGCTGCTGCTGCTGCTGCTGCTGCTGCTGCTGCTGCTGCAGGTCGGGGTGCCTGCAGCCCGCGGTCCTGGTGTTCCTCATAGCCGCTGCTGCAGGCGCCGCCGCAAGCGCCACTTTCGACGGCCCCATCACCACCGCCGCCCGCCACGGAGGACGTTGACGGCCGGCTACGCGCCGATTCTGCCACCGCGGCTGGCGCCGCGTCGGAGCCGCCGGCCGCGCCGCGGCTGGCGCCGCCCGCGCACTCCACCCTGAAAACGATGCTGGCGTTTTCGAATGGAATTGTCAGCGTGCCCACGTACACCACCGCCGGCCCCGCCGCCACCGCCGCCGCCGGCCCCGCGCGCGCTGCGGCGGCGGCCGCGGGGCCGGGCTTACAGTGCACCTCCGCCACCGACCACACCGCTGCCGCGCCGCCGCACGCGCGCAGCGCGCGCGCCTCGACAAGCAGCGCGCAGCGCGCCATGCCGCCGTTGCGGTCGGCGGCGTTCAGGGCTGCGAAGAGCTCCGCCTTCGAGGTTGCTGAGAGGGGCAGGTCCGGCGCGTGGTTGGTGGTGTGGACGGTCACCGCGTCGCCATCGGGCGTCCAATGCAGGCGCGCCTGATGGGAAGGGGGCGGGACGGACGGGTGGGCTGGTGAGGGGCGCCGGCATGCCAAGGGGACCTTGGAAAGGAGGCGGAAGCCCTTTTGCTGACCGGACCCCGTGACGCAACCGCAGACCCGACAAGTTTGGGCGGATGGAACACTACAACAGGACATCCGGGCCGTGTGCCCGCACAAGGGCGGCCCCCGCACTACGGTAACGCGCCCAAATACAGGGGCCAACGGCGCGGCTGATCATCTCACCCCGCGGCGGCTCGCGATGGCGGGTTTGTAGCCCAAAGGCAGGGCGGAAAAGTCGATGTCGTGTGGCTTCACAGTTCCCAGCTGCCCGGCGCCGGCGCCACGAGCGGCGGTCTGGGTGTCGCTTATCCGAGAAAGTAGGCGGTCCCATAGGGAGGACATGGTGCTATGTGCGAGCTTGGTGGCGCGAGGAACGTGCAGACCACACTGCCACGCGGATGAATGTGCGATCGAACTGGGCGTTTTGTGCCCGGCCAGCGTGGACAATATGGCTGAAATTGCGTGCATGACCAAATTCATGTTGTTGCAGGTGCCACATCGGGCTAAGACGTGCAGGTGAGGCGGCATCACTGCGGCACTGTACAACGCCCCTGCGCGGCATCCGCGCGTGTCACCCGCACTTAGTCACTGCTGCCGCGTACCGCAGCACTGCGTCACTCTGGCGGCGTCGGTGCCTGCCGCCAGATGCCGTTGCTGTTGTTCAGGCGGCCCGGGGCTTGGATGGCGCACGTCGATGTTCACTGCTGCTGGATTGTTGGTGTTTTTGACCAAGCGAGAGCTTCCAGCCATGGGCCGACTGCAACCCAGAACACCACGACACGTGCAACCCTCCCTCACCGTAAACGACCTGCACTAAAATTATTCACATTCCAAGTATATGCAAGCCCACGGTCCCTGCATTGCAGGCAAAATCAACCCTCTGCCGTTGGGGGCTGCCGCAGGCCCCCGCCTGCTGCCCGGGGCTGCCGCGCGGCTGCCGCGCGCGCGAAAGCGCCCGCCGAGTCGCCGGCCGGCGCGACGCCCGGCCGGCTGCCAGCCGTCCTGCGGAGCGCAAACACGGGCACGCTGACCACGGCGTGTCGCAAGCGTGGGGCCCGGGCTTCGAGCACCTGGGGGTTTGGGGGTGGGTTGCTGTCGTCGCGCCGCAGCATCAGGCGTGCGTCATCAATAGGGTATGAACCAACAGTGGCGCTGAGTCGGCTCCCCTTCCCGCGTGCAACCAGTCCTGTCAGCCTCGTCTGCTTCATATCTTTGCGCTGACGAGGGTGTTGCTTTTTTGCTTGCCATCGCATGAAGCAAGCAGGGCCGTGGCACCCCTGAAGGATAATTTCTTCCGCCGCGCAACTCCACAGCAGCATGCAAGGATTCGTTCGCACCTGCAATTTGCTGGCCGCCAACGACTAACGGCGGCTTGCATGGTAGCTAGACTCGCCGATATGCTTGCCCTCAATCTGCTTGGTCAAGAGTTTTTCTGGCACATGTAGTTTTCGCCGTCGCTTGCTGCCGCAGCAGTCAAATGATGGGGCCGGGAGCGAACATGCCGCTTTCAGGCCCCACAACTCCACTGCTCCTCAGTCAACGCAAGCGCATCTCCACCATCTTCGCGCCCTCCTGCCACCCCGCCACTGATCCCAGAACCCCTTTGTTGACGAGGACGCATAGCGATTTGATTACACTCTTGGGCGGGCTGCGGCACGGGCGAGAGCCAGAGTGGAGCCACACAGAGGGCGCGGCTTCAACCTTGGATCGCGTTGCCAGCTTGCCTTGAAGCACACTGTGTAATGCACGCGTTGCGTGCGCCTCGCACGCAAGTGCGAACGACGGGCTGCGCCTTGCCGTCCCAACCGACCCAGAGCCCTGGTGGTAGGAATGAAATACAAAACGAATGGGGCAGGTGCGCGGGTTGCCGCCCCCCGCCTGCACTCTGCTCTCTGCAGAAGGCCAAACAATGACAAGGAATTATGCTCGATCGACAATAAGGATTAAATCATTGGCCACTATCCCATACGGCGGCGAGAAAAGGGCAGACGCAGCTGGCAGCAAGAGGCGGTATTCAAACGCCGCTTGTGCGCCCTGCGTGGCACGCACACAGGAGGTGGCGCGGGCCTGGGCGGCGCGACCGTAAGGGCTGCAGGCCCCTGGCACGCAGAGGGCGAGCCGGGTGCCCACGACGGCGGGTTCGCGCCGCCGCCGCCGCGGCGCGTCTCGCGTGCGCCCTCCGCTTAGCCCATGCCCGGAGGCAGCGCGGGGCCGATGGGCCCGGCGCCCATCAGCGCGCCCTTCGCCGCGCTCGCTCCCTGCGCGGCCTGCGCCAGGGCGGCCACCTTTTGGGCTGCCTGCGGTGCAGTCCGATGTTTTGGGTGTGGAACGGGGATGGGTGGGTTAGTGGGTGGGTTGGTGGGAGACAGGCCGCAATGGGGGGGGGAGAAGATGTTCAATGTGCTGATGCAATTCATGAGTAAGGCGCCCAGCATCCCCCGACTGGACATGATCCCAAGTGCTTGCTCCGCCCCTCAGAATGTCAACACCCAGATACAACTCGGCTGTTTATGACTAAAGCAACGACGTAATAAAAACCCAACCAGCACACCAGGCGCCGCCGCCCCACCTGCAGGATCTGGTCCCAGGAGGGCATGTTGTCGGGTTTGGGCATGTTCTTGAGGAACGTCTGCGCCCCCTGCAGCCCCTTGACGATGTCCTCCATCGGCGGCAGGTTCTTGGGCAGCTGTAGTGGTTCGAGTGGTTTTTGGGGTGCGTTGCGTATGATTAGGCCGCGGCGGAGGGTGTGCACTGTGCAATGGGCATAGCAGCCAAGATCCCATGGGCAGTCAATCAGTCCCTGGCGCTTCGATCGGCCGTCAAGGACTGTTTTGGAGTGCCGGTTTGAGGGGCGGG